CATTTCTCATCCGTCATCCCACCGCACTCGTATATCATACGACTCGAACTTAATACTTTTTACTTCCAATAAAAAGAGATAATCACTAAATTATTTAGGTTATTGTCATTGTGAATTTAAATAATATAACACATAAATATAGTGAATTAAAGAATAAAATGAGGTTATCTCCTCATTATATAATCTACCATAGTAAACAAAATTAATTTCAAAATTAATTTCAAGACTACAAATTTTATAAAAAATTACTTTTTTAATTAATTTATCTAAAACATCAAAACTTAATTAATAAAAAAAACAAACTTCATTATTAACTAAACAACTACTATTTGATGCACTTGGTCTTCTATTTTAATGATGTCAAATCATATTTAAGTGCACCTCTCTTCTTTAGACAACAACGGTTTGAATCCTATCTCTTACAAAATTGTAAAAAAAAAAAATTACTATTTGATATTTACAATTGATTTACCTATAAAATAATTGTTGATGAAAGCAAAAATGGGTCAGAATTACGCGTTGATGAAAACATTATAAAATTGAAGAGATGACGTGAAATCATATTATCCTTTGTTTTTAAAGTCAAAATCAGCTAAATGGTTTTCGACTTCCACATAGCAGAAGTAGGTAAAACGAAGCTTTCTTGACACGGTTTTTCTTTCTGCCAATAAGAAATAGCTCTCGGAAAGGCATCTGTACTCTGAAATAATTAATAACACCAAGACTAAGGAAGCAACCCAAATTCATGGTAATTGATATTCAAATTAGTGGACATAATGATATGTAATTATGCAGGGGTGTGTACTTCAATTTTGATATTGCCTTGCTTCCTCCATGTGCTCCCTACTCTCTTCTGGCATTGTACTTGCATTCACATATTTTGACTTTTTTTTTTTCTCTCTTTTAGGTTAGTTAAAAGTAATGAAAATAACGTAATTTTATTATGAATTGTCTAGCAATTATATAAATAGTTTATCTTTAATCATTATAATGACGTGATTGAAAAGTTGATAGACATACAAAAAAAAAAATTTCGTTAATTTTTAAAAATATCATCATATGGTTACATTTACTACTAATATTACCTTATGGTATACATTTTGTGCTTGGAAAGTTTGTTGAGAAACACTCACTTTTTTAATTTGTTAGCAGTCTCCCAAAAAAGTTTGACAACTTTATCCAAGCCAACTAGTCTCTTTGATGGCCAAACAAAAGAATGGCTTTTGCCTTTCTCTTCTTCTTCTTTTCCTAATTTATGGGATGGATCCAATCCATGAAAAAAGAGAAGAAAGTTAGGAGGCGTGGAGAATCACTTATTCACTTTAAAATTTAAATAAGGCAAGCAAAATCGATTTTGTAGCCAAAAAAGTGAAACATTCTAACTTTTTTACTTTTTAATTAGATTTTAAACTCGCACTTGTAATTTTGACTGTTTTGATTTAAATGTATTGAATTCTTGATATTTATTAAAGTTTCATTCGTTGTAATAGTAGTTAAATTATTCTCATTCTCCCACATTTCCTTATGTTTAAAAGGAAAAGAAAAACTAGATTTTAAGCTCTTTTATTAAAAAAATTTTCAAGGGTGATTGTTTTATTGCACTAACCTATACCATACACATTAATATGGGTAGGTTGGGGCTAAAGGACATAAAACAGAGGGACTCAAATTTAAAGGAAATAGGGCCGCAGATTTTTAGATTACCTCGGATGTGTATTGTAATTGGGCTAGGGTCAGTTATTGCGTGTGGGAATTATTCGGAGCGGGACGCATTAACCACCCTCCGATTTTGACTACAACGTTGATTCAAGTGGGTCTCTCGAACGGGGCTTTAGTTTCAATTATTTGACCAAGCATTAAAATATTTGGGTGTAGTAGTTGGGGTTTCGAATTTCACCATTTTATTGAAAACTCTCTTTCTCCATCCCCAAATCGTATACTGTTAAAAAAAAAAAAAAAGTGGGTCTATCTAATTCAGAGCGCTTAATTTGTGTGCTTCCGTCCGACGTGGGATCTTTACTGTCCCAATAAATATATAGTAAGAATCTTATATTTTACTGTTTAGACTATATTAAATAATAATTTAAAAATAGGATAAGATCAATAATTGGTTGGTTTAAATGAAAGAAATATTTTTTAAAATAAAATTTTAAATTTAAGTTTTATCAATAAACAAAAGATATTAGGATAACTTTTTTTATAAAGTCTTATATAACATGATTCTGAATTAATCAAAATTAATATAATTTTTGAAAATCAAAAGTTTATTATAAGAAAAGAGCTCTCAATATTAAGAATTTATTTTAATGTAATGATTAGTGTTGTGTAATTTAATATGATTTAAAACTGTATAATACTTTTATCATATAATAACAAAGAAATCTTTTTTTTAAAAGTAAAGAAAGAAAGAAAAACCAAAGAAAAAATGTTATAAATATAATATTATATATAATTATAAATTTATGATTATAATATGATATTTAAATAAATATATATATAATATTATAAATTATTAAATAAAAAATTATTATATAATAACATATCATATTAAAATTTTACAATATTATATAATATTATATTTATAACATTTTCATATTAATCATTTAATGGAAGGATTCTTTCTAATTTTAAGGGTGCTTCTAATTTAAACCCTTGTATTTTTTAAGTACATATTGTACAATAATTTTCAGAAAAAAGGAAATTTTGTTTAAATGGAAGAAAAACAGTGCTTCCTAGACTTTGCGTGGCGCACCCGTCTTACAGCTGTGACATAGAATTTCAAATCCATTATGGCATTGTACACCTAACATGGTACACTTTTTTTGTTTTTTTTGGGAACATTGATTGTTTAGGATTGTAGGGTTTAAACATGACATTCATCTTTTGAATTTGGTTTTTAGGTTTTAATCATTCGTCTCAAACTTTTAAGCATTTAAATTCATTAATGGAGACTTCAAATTTCATTGACATCTTGAAAATCTCATTTCCCTTCCTCCAAAAATTATACATTGTTAAAAGAAAAAATGATATTCATCTTTTCATAAAAAATTTGTGTTTTTAAATAAAAACTTAAGAAATTGAGGGAAGGGGGTAGGTATTGGTATACTTGATTAAAGATATATCTTACCCCCATATTTAGACTGAAGGTAAAATAACAAAAAAAATTTAAAGAAAAAGGAAAAATAGAAAAAAATTTGCTATATCTATTCTTCCTTTCTCTTGTCTTCCACAATAAAAAACTATTAATATTATAATTATAACATTACATAATATTATATTATATTATAAAATTATAATACAATATAATAATATAATTATACTATTTTCAATATAAAAATAAGATTAAGTTACATGTAAAATTGTAGAAAAAAAAATGATAAGGAAACGGGTTTTTGAAGAATCGAACAAAAGTACAAAAATCCATTTGGACTAGAAATTAGGACATAAGGTATTAAGAACATTTTGAGTAAATTTAAAACTAAAAGGACATTTCTCTAATACTATTAATAAATGTATTATTCTAATAAAGAAGTACTCTATATAGTACATAATTTGGTTCAAAACAAGAACTTTTCACCTAAAAAGAAAATAGTCATAAAAGGAGTTTTTTATTTAATTGTGCGGTTTTACAATAAATTTTATAAAAAGATATAAAATAAATATTATTTTTAATAATAATATATTTTTTTAAAAAAAATAAATAATTATTTAAAATATTTAAATTTGACTTTTATTTTTATTTAAATTAATTTAAAAAATATAAATAATTCATTTATACCTTGTAAAAAAGTTGCAAAAATCCATCATAAAATTTTAAAAAAACTATTTTTCTGTTCTCGCAATTGAAAAAACTAAGTATCACTACTCGAGACATTTTATTTTTCTAAAAAGATGCAAAAATACCGAAGCTAAAAAATAATAAGAAAATTTGAGTATTGATATAGGAATAATTTTTTATATTATTTTTATGTAATTTTTCGTATTATTAAATAAATAAATAAATTTAAATATTAAATAAATAAAAAATTAATTATTTAAATAATATATAAAATTTTAAAAAATATTACTAAATATTACTAAATCATTTTTCAAAAAAATCCCATACTTAATACAGGAAAGGTTTTTTTATGGAAAATTAAAAATTACAAAATTTCCCCGAAATTTACAATAACTGCCCATTGCGCATGACATTTCTGCAGTTACGTCCACTACGCAGAAATAAAATACTTTTTCTCCTGTTTTCTTTTTGTTTCCTTTTTCGCCATAGATAAAGACAGCTGAAGGAAAGGAGGAGCAGAGAAGGGCTGCAGATTCAAAAAAGGGAACACCAACACACGACTCCAAAGGCCTAGAAGATCCAAACCCCACGCCTACGCTTTTTTCCTTTCTCAATTCACAGTTCTCCATCGTCATGTGTTTTCCAAAGCATGAAGCTGCTGCTGCTGCTGCTTCTTCGCCAGGAATATTCTGCTGTTTCCGCCATGTCTAAACCTTTTGGTCCCTCCATTTCTCCTGTTTCATTGCCAGCGTTATCTCCAGGTGCTGTGTATGACAATAGTACTGTTCTTTGTATCTTTCATGGGTTCATTACTCTTCTTCCCCTTCTGCGTAAAAACGTTTTGTTTTCTGAAAAAATGGGTAGTGCAATTTCAGCGTTTTTTCCCCCCATTTCTGGGTTCTCTTTGTTTTGGAGTTTTGGTTGTTTTTTTGTTTTTTAACTGCAATTTTCGAATTTTGAATTTTGAATTATGTAGAAATTCAAAAAATTTCAAAAAATGACCATGAATTTCGGTGCATTTACTGCTGTAAGCATCAAGTGGAATTATTTCTCTTGTTTGTGAATTCTATTCATTGTACAAATTGATAGCAATTCCCTCTTTATTGATGAAAATGTTGTCCTTACTGCTAAATTTCGAGTAGACATAATCTCAAGGGATCTTATAGGGTGGGATCCTTTCCGTTCTGTCTAGAAAAAGACTTTAATTCTATAATAATCACGGTGGAATTGCAGGAATTCATATGGAAAGCCGAGAGCAGAAAATGGATCCGAGCAGGAAGAAGTTTATTGCACTCATTGGTGTTTGCTCTTCACTGGTTGTAATCATACTGGTTTTATTTTGTTTGTGGATTCGTTACTGGAAAAAGTCACAGAAATCTGGAAAAAATGATGCCAAGAACTCAGGTATCTTAATTTTTTTTTTAGCAAAACAGTCCTTTGAATTTTACTTTATCTGTTTGTTGGTGCCAGAGAATTTATTTACTTTAATTATGCTTCCTTTACTGGGTCTAAGATTCTTTCTTCTTCTTCTTCTTCTTTTTTGGTTTTAATTTGAAGATGTTGAGAGAGGGCTTGTGTTAGCTCCATTTTTGGGTAATTTTCGTTCTCTGAGAACAGTTTCCAAGACGGGATATGCTTCATTTATGGATTGTAAGATACTTGAAAAGGCAACAAGCAAGTTTCATGATAGTAATGTTTTGGGTGTTGGTGGATTCGGGCGAGTGTACAAGGCTCGATTGGAGGATGGTTCGTGTGTTGCTGTCAAGAAGCTGGATTGTTCAACCCAGGATGCAGGGAAAGAATTTGAGGTATCATTTATGGGGAATTTTGCATTTTACTGTTTGGATGTTTTTGTATCATTTATCTTTAGATAAAATTTCTGATGTTTATATTCTGGAATTGCAGAATGAAGTGGATTTGTTAAGCAAGTTTCACCATCCAAATATAATTTCCCTAGTGGGTTATAGCATTGAAAGTGAAACAGGATTCATTGTATATGAATTGATGAACAATGGTTCTTTGGAAACTCAGTTGCATGGTAAGAGCTCACTCTCCAATTAAGAACTCAGGAAACAGCAGACAATTGTGTGATTCTAAAATAGAAATAGATCTAACACTTTAAAATTCTGAATTTTTGGTTTTTTATTGCTTTAGGACCTTCCAATGGATCGGAATTATCTTGGTACCGGCGGATGAAGATAGCCCTTGATACAGCAAAGTGAGTTTGCACGCCATGTCTTTTACTGCACAGAATTCTGTTTTGGTCTTTGGTGATGAATGTTAAACATTTTTCATTTTGTTGACCAGAGGATTAGAATATCTGCATGAGCATTGCAACCCAGTGGTCATCCATAGAGATCTGAAATCCTCTAATATTCTTTTGGATTCCAATTTCAATGCAAAGGTAATAAATGAGAAATATTAAGTCTCTGACATATTTTATTGTATTAAATCTTGATAATGGCTTAAAAGATTGCTTCTATACAATGTTGGTGTCTTCCTTTAAATTTACAGAAGCTTGCTTTCCTTTCATGTTTTCTAAATCCAGCTTTCAGATTTTGGTCTTGCTGTAATTGATGGGACTCAAAACAAGAATGATCTCAAGCTCTCAGGCACTGTAGGTTATGTTGCACCAGAGTACCTTTTAGTTGGTATGCCTACAGCCACTAAATTGGTTATACTTCCCAAAATGTTACTATTATTAATATATATTTTCTCTCTGCCTACTTGTGGGTAACATTATTGTTGTTCTGGATCTGCATTCTGCAATGACTTCAAAATTATTATCAGTCTACCATGAGGTTGTTTTTTCCCCCCTTCCAAGTCTACTCTTTTAGATTAACTTACTATTTCTACACATGTTCTACCATTAGAGATCTCACTAATCAATTTTCCTGTTTCTTTTTAGAAATGATCTTTTCAGGATTGGAAATGACATTTCTGCCCTTAATATCCTGAGGTTCAAAGTTTGATTAAAAGGGCAGGAAGGAATGTCATTTCCAGTCCAGACTAATTTTTTGCCTGCCTGGACTGAAGGACATTTTTCTTTAGTTTTCATTGCAAGTGAGAAATTGAATATCCTAAGGATAAAGTGCAATTTCATTTAAATTGTTTTAAATAATCTGCTGTGTACATTTTTCCCTCATCAAATTTGTGGTAGGGAAAACTTAAACATATTTTCTCTCTGTCTTTCTTTCTTTCTTTTTTTTCTAGGTAAATTAACAGATAAAAGTGATGTATATGCTTTTGGTGTGGTGCTTTTGGAACTTCTATTTGGAAGAAAGGCTGTAGAAAAACAGGCACCAGCTCAGTGCCAAACTCTTGTCACATGGGTATGCCTCCCTTGTAATCCTCATCGATTATAGATTAAATTCTATAATAACAATAATAATATAATGACTTTTCTGTTTAATGAATGCAGGCAATGCCCAAGCTTACTGACAGATCTCTACTTCCAGAAATCCTGGATCCAGTGATAAAAAATACCATGGATTTGAAGCACTTATTCCAGGTTGATATGCTACAGTTGAAATTTCTCATTGCATTAAATTTAATTTTTACTATTTTTGTTAGCAACTTGTTAGATCCACAAATTGACCATGGACTAAACCAAGCAGCCCTAGGTTAGTTGTGGTTTCTTGCAAGTTTAGATTGGAATGTGGTAGGTTGAGAGTGTGTTTATCCAACTTCTGAAGCTAGTTGTCTTCAATTCGCGTGCTTTGACCACCTAGCTACCTAGCGGATTGAAGTTTCACAAGTAATACAGGGCAACTAAAAGCACAACCACAATCCATTTTTCATTCTAGGCTTCTTTTTTTTTTTCTCAATGAGAACTAGACTTGGGTAGGATGGTTGGATTTGGATGCATTTAGCGTGAAATTTTGAAATCCTGCCCACCATCCAATGAAGGAAAGAGTTCAAAAGGGTAGTTTGGCTATTGGTCGTGAAAGTAGTATAACTTGTATTTATATTGTTGTTTTGATGATGTGCTGAGGATAATTGCCATGTTTATAGGTTGCTGCAGTAGCTCTATTATGCGTGCAACCAGAACCGAGTTATCGTCCATTAATAACGGATGTTATGCACTCACTCATTCCACTTGTTCCGGTAGAGCTTGGTGGGACGTTAAGACAACCTTCAGCCTCCTCAAATCCTACATTACAATGTCAGCATTGACACATCTCCAGATTGAAGGCAAATTTCTGATGCTTCTGTAAGAGTTTTGGCGCTTCATTGATTAAATTGAAGAGCCTTTTCATGTGCCTAGCTAGTTATACAGACAAAAGAATTGATAGTATCACATGTTGAAATGAGGCTTAGTTGGACTGCTGTAGAAGATTTCTTCATTGTTCATATAAGTTGTAAATTGAACTGGATTTGAAAAGCTCTTTGTAGGATTATTGAAATTACTTGTCGATAGAAGATAATTTTCGACAAACTTCTTGGTTTTCATTTTGGCCAACAGTTTTGTGGCTTGAATGGAGAGTTGAAAAAGCTCAGTAAACTTTTCCTGAAACATTTTTCTAAAAAATGCTTCAGGAACGGGCCATTTAGCAAAAATACGAACTTAATTTTTTCTTTTAGAAAAAGAAAAAGGAAAAGAGTTCTTTAGAGCTCCATTTTTTCTTCAATTTTATTTTATTTTATAATTTGATGAATTTTTAGGAAAAAAAAACAGCAAAATGAATATCTACAGAAGAGATAACAATAAAGTTCTATATTTGCTATTATAATTCAAAACCTTAAGTTTAAGTACCACATTCAGGGAAATAAAACAGAGGCAACAAACTGCCTCAGTGAAGGTTCCAAGTTACAGAATTATTATTATGGGTGAACACATGTTATGAAAGTTCCAAGTTACAGAATTATTATCATCGGTGAACATATGTTATTCCATCTTTTCTAACTCATTTCAGGAGTTCAAGGTTGAGAATGTAACTCATCAAAATTTGGAACCACAGTTAAATTTTTTTTTCTTTCAACTGACATTGTGGAATGAATCAATGATGGCATCGGCTAGGTACTCACATTTGGCCAAAGATAATCCAGCCAGTGAAATCCTTCCATCCTTCGTCATGTACACATGCCACTTGTTCGTCATATGCTCACTCTGTCAAAAAATAATAGATAAAATATGTCAACTAGGGAAAATATTGTTATTCAAGTATCATGTGCAATGGGGCATCTGACTTTCATAACTGATTACAAATCACGGTCAAATGTTAAGAAATTAAAACCCGGGCAGCAAGTACGAATCCTATGCCTAGTTTATGCTATTATTCCGTCAGTTCATATATATATATACACACACACACATGATCTTTGGACTTTGGGGACTCAACGAGGAAAATGCCCCCAATTGAGACTAGGAAGGAAATGTTTCGGCTTATGAAGATTATTCTTGACATTTTATGAAAGTAAAATATGAGGATCAGAAGTTGGGGAAAACAACTTGAAGGGGAGGTATTACCTGAGCTTTGTTTAGGCCTGTGAAGGAGAACATGCCAATCTGCTTAAGAATAAATGACCAATCTTTCCCACTTTTATCTTTGGCAGAAAGGCTATCAAACAACTTCTGTCTTACATTCTTTATCCTTCCAGCCATCATTTCCATCTCTGCTTTCCATTCGTTGAAGAGGGTGGGATCTCCAACAACATTGGCAACAATCCTAGCTCCATGAACAGGAGGATTTGAGTACATTGGTCGAGCAAGTCTTTTCAGTTGGCTCTTTACCCTGAAAGAAGAATATAAACACAAGCAGGGCCTTGATAAAGATGTCTTGTTATATGGTTAAATGCATCTAATGGTCAACATATTTCAGAGAAAAGATAACTGAATCACAATTCACAAGCAATAATATTGAGCCAAGCATTTTGGTTTGCTGTACCTTGTTGCAGCATCTGCTGATGAGCAAACAACATTGATTGCTCCAATCCTTTCTGCATAAAGTCCAAGATTTTTACTGTATGACTGAGCAATCAGAACCTCCATATCCCTTGCTACAAACAACCTCACAGATGCAGCATCAGCATCAAGGCTTCCACTTGCAAATCCCTAGAAAAAAGCAATATTAAATGTCCTCAATTGGATATTACTATTCACTACAGATAAGGTTGCATATGTCAACTGAATTTCTAAATATTTAATGATATCAGATTATTTAAACCTGTTACAGAAACCAATGCTGAAATTGATACTCATATCAGATATTAAGTAAACAATACCTGGTATGCAACATCAAAAAATGGAATGTGGTTCTTCTCTTGGATGACATCAGCAATTTTTTCCCACTGTTCAGGGGTTGGATCAATACCGGTAGGATTGTGAGCACAGCCATGAAGCAGCACAAACGATCCATCAGGGGCTGCCTGCAAAGAGGGGCTAGGAAATCATGAGTTCAATTGGGAGAAGTGGTTTAGATGGAACAGTGAAATAATTCCAAATAAGTACAACAACAGTGGACATATATTGAATTTAAAATGTTAAGACCTTGATATCAGATATCATTCCCTCAAAATCTAAGCCAACTGTTTTTGGGTCATAATAGCGGTACTCAGACCATGGAACCCTAGCATCATTGAAAATATTCTTGTGGTTACCTGTGTAAGGCAGTTTTGTTAGCCATTGCAATAAATTAAACTTTCAATTTGAGTTACAACGAAGGTTAAAAAGGAAGTACATACCCCAAGTGGGAGATGATATCACAACCTTTGCCCCAGGAAAATATCGCTCTATTAAAGCAGCAGCCAGTCGCAGGGAACCAGTTCCGGAAAGACCTTGAACTGTTGCTACCTGGAAAACAAGTCAAAAACATTTATGAACAAGAAACGAGTTTGACACCCCAGTACATCATTGATACATATAACAAAACAAAATCTTCTTTCAGAAGATGGACTGAATTCTCACGCACTCTTTGCTGCTTGATAACTGGGTTGTCTGCTCCAAATAACAGTTCAGCAGTTGCTTTATTGAATGCAGCCAAACCCTCAATTGGGAGATACTGCTCATAAAGTTAAATAATCGTAAGTAAGTTTGAAGAAAAAGAAGAGAAAGTGCAGGACAAAAATGACAAATGCATAATGACTGTGCATTAAGTTACCTCTTTGTTATCTCCCCTCTCCAGCATAAGATTCTCTGCCTAGAAAATCAAAGTTTGAAATTTAATCAATTCCAAGTTTAATTGTCAGACATAAGGTGACTTAGGAAGGGAACTTAAAGAGGACTGTAGCTCATTAACTTGTTGAGAATTTTTCAGAAATGAACAAACCTTTTTAACAACATCAAGCACATAAGGCTGTAGCTCCTCAGTCCGATAGGCTCCAACTCCAAGGTTGAGCTTCATTGCATTAGTATCTGCTCTAAAAGCCTCAGAAACTCCAAGAATTGGGTCCGGAGGAGCCATTGTTACACCATCAAAACGAGACACATTGGTAGTGGCAACCATACGTATCCGACCAAATGACTGCAAGCCACATAAGACCAAACTCAGATTCATCAACAAAAACAAATCTGAAACCCAAACACAGACTATTTATTTAACAGTCTTAAAAACTCCAGACCCAAAATTTAAACCCTAAGCCATTACAATATTTTGAAAGAACAATTGTTGAAGGATATAACCAAAAAATCCAATCCAAAAAAAAACTTATTAACCTTTCATACCATCGGCAATCTAGGATCACAGGAAAAAAAAAATGCAACCATTAAATAAATTTAATTGCCATAGGAAATAGCTTGGAAACAAAAAAATTAATGACCAGAGGCAACAAAATCCATTAATTAGATGAGATCAATGAATAAACATTAAGTTATAAAACAATACCTTTGTTTTTATGGAGGAATTTTTGAAGCTGGTACATGGAAGATTCAATTTCATCTGCAGTAATTTATCCAAGCATAATCACACTCACGGAGTGAGCTACCCGCCATCTATTAAACTCGGATTTTCTCAGTAGCAAAACTTTTACCGTAGCTGAAAGAAAAACACATGAACAACAAATTGAACGAAGAAAGTAGCCACACCTTGTTGATTTCACGAGGGGATAGTGAAGCTGATGGCGGTGCAGATGCAGCAGCTAAGGAAGAAAGCAACGCCGACGCCATCTGGAATGGCAGCGATTTCGGATGAGATTGAATGATTTAAGTCGAGAAGAGCTGAGGAATGCGATCCAGGAGAATTCATGATGTAATCATTAGGATTTATTGAGAAAAAAAAAAAAAAGAGAAGCTGAAACGGCAAAGAATCGAAGAGATCAGAGCTCACCTGAGTGTGAGGTGGAAGTCCGGCGGCGAGTTTCCTGGGATATTAGCTACCGCCTACTGGGATTTTTGAAGCCTGAGATGGCAGTTGTTTGAATCGACACTGAAACTATGTGCTGAAGTTTGGATGGCTACTGAACTTTTGGGTGAATTGTCATTAGACTCGTTACATTGTGACGGCAAAGGTAGTGGTTGTGGGTTTGGTTTTTATTAAAAATTAAATGGTGACGGTTTAGTAAAAGTGACATCTGTCAACGGATAAGCTAGCACTCCTCTTACCTTTGCTGCTTCGGTTCCAGGCCTGAACCCAACTTCTAATTCGGGATGTC